GCACAGTGGCAGTGAGGAGAGGATGCAACATGTGGTTCAGGTCTCCTTCCTCCGCATCTAACCCATCACACTTCACACAGTCCCGCTTCCAGCATCCCTCATGAGGGGTGCCAGGCTTTTTGCAAGGGGGAAGATGCACAAGAACAAGCGCTGGCTTTGCAGGGCAGCTCAGCCATGAATTTCAGCTATCCCTGGGAACAAAACCAAATTCCAAACTTACCAGTGCCGACATTCAACAGCAGGGAGCCAGGCGCTATCAACCACAGCTCTGCCCCCTTCGTGCACTCCACTGGCTCTCATTATCTACTCCCAGCCCTGATCCCACACGGATTTATGCAGGTATCAATCCTAGTGGAGCAGGGATTGCTCCACACGCCAAAACAAAGCCCATGACCCAGACCTGCAGCAAGAAGCCCTGTTCCAGCAGCACTGTGAGTGAAATTGTGGTCGGGCGTTTGGAACAATGCTGGTCTTTGGAGTGCTGCCGTCATCCGTGTCCCCGCTCTGCTGTGCCGCGGCAGGGCGGTGACAAAGCCACCGCTGCTGGGACATGGGGGCTCTTCCAGCCCTCCTCCCCCAGGCAGCAAACCTACCCTTCTTCTTCTTCATCCCGGGGAATGGGGGGATAAATCCGTGAAAACTGCAGCTGGGCTGAAAACCTCGAGGAAAAACGGTTTGGCTCCTCTGGGATAAGCTAGGGAGGGAACTGCAGAGAGCGGGCAGAGATGTCCCAAGACTTGCAGGGAGAGGAGAGGGGTGAATTTCCCCTGCCTTGCTGTCAGTAACAGGGGAGAGCAGAGGAAATCCTGACGGTCATGAAAAGGATGAGGGATGGCAGGAAGGGGATGTCCCAGCCCAAACCACCCACGAAAAGAGGGAAGCTTCCACTATTTTGGCTTCCAAGCCACCGAGGGCATCACTGAAGGCAGCCTTCCCCACGCCAGGATGATGACCCAAACCTGGAGCCACTACTGCAAACATACCTTCACCTTCTCCATCCAATATTCCTGCATGAACCAAACATCTCAGATCCCCCTGCTGGGACACGGGCCCAGTTACAGCTCCTGCTGCAAACCAACCCTCCCTGCCCCCGCAGGCTCTGTTAAAACCCATTGCTGGAAGCTTTGCCGCCTTCACAACACAGAAGAAAAGCAAATCTCAGGCACCTGCAGGGACGGAGGGCAAGAACACCCCCCATTCCTTGGGATTTTATCACCCTGGAGATAGCAGTACTGCTCCCAGGAGGAAAAAGCCTGCACTTCCTGAGCACCAGTGCAGGCTGCAGGAGGGCCTCCTCCACGGGGGTTTTGGGAACTCGGGATCTCTGTCCCAACTCTCCTAAACCTCCATGTAGAAATGAAGGATTTTTAAAGGAGAAACCCAACCATTTTGGAAGGAAAACCGGACCTTTTCGCCTTCGCACGGCAGCCCCCGACGCCACCAAGGTGGCCGATGTGACAGCCCGAGCATTGCCGTGGGGCAGAGGCAGCCTCCAGCAGCACGCCCAGTCCCGCTGCCAGGCTCCGCATCCCCATCCAGAGGGAAGCCCAGTGGCCGCGGCTCAGCCGGGTGGGCAAACCTGGGGATGAGGACAAAGGAAGGAACAGCCAGGGATTGCTCCGGCCATCCGAGGTGCCCCCGCTGGCTCCTGGGCCCCGCTCCCCGAGCCCAGCAACATCCTCCCGCGGTGACGCAAGGCCGGCGGAGGAAGCCGGGACGTCACGGGAGGCCTGGGGCGTGGGAAGCGCGTGCACACACATCCCCACGCACCATCCCCACGCACCATCCCCGCGCCAGCCTGCCCACGGCAGGGAGGCCCGCCAGGAGGGACGCGCTGTTTTGGGGATGTGGGACCGCAGCCCCCTGCAAGGGCTTCTGGAGCGCGGGGCAGTGGGGAGTTGCGTGGATGGGGGGCTGTAAGGTTGGGGGCTGCGTGGGTTTGTGGGCTGCGTGGGTGGGTAGGGTGGAGAGCTTCCCACGGGGCGAACCGCCCCGCTGGGAAAAAACAGCCCTGCCATCCGGGGTAGCCAAAAAATGATGGGAAAGGAGCGGCGGGAGGGGGTTTGGGGGAGATGTGTGCAGCGCTCGGGCTCCTGCCCAGCCCGGCCCGGGGAAGGGGAGCCCGGCGGGACCTACCTGCTCCTCCTCGGCGCTGAGCTCCGCGGCCATGCTGCGCAGCGGGCCGGGCCGGGCCGAGCCGGGCCGGGATGAGCCGAGCCGGGCCGGTCTAAGCGGCGGGCGCCCCGGCGGAGCCCATCCCCGGCGCTGCGGGCACCGGCCCCTCCCGGCGGCGAAGGCGGCTCCGCCCCGGGGGCCCCGCCGAAAGCGCCGAAAAAATTAAAATAAAATAATAATATATATATTATATTTTATATATATATAAAAATATATATATAGATATGCGTGTATGTCTGAGCACCCCGGGAAGTTTGGCTCGGACCGGGAGCGCCGCTCGGCTGGGCCGGGCCGGGCCGAGCTCCCGCCCCGCTCCGCTCCGCTCTGCCCCGGCGGGGGCGGCGGCAGGAAGCGCCCGCACACCCCGATCCCTCCTCTCCGTCCCCTCCCCGCGCCTCGGCCGGCCCCGGAGGGCGGGCGGGGGACAGGAAGGCCTCTCTGGCGGGGGGGCGAGCGGGGGGCAGCAGCCGGGATGGGGCTGGAGGGGCCCGATCGCCTCCCCCCCCCCGCCCCGCTCCGCCCCGGCTCCCCCAGCCCCAGTTCCGGCCGCGGCAGGCGGGAGCACCGCCGCTAAAATGGTGGCAGCATCCTCCTCTCCTGCTGGTGCTGGATGAAATTCCCGGCACAGCATTTTCCCCTGCCGGTATTCCAGCCTCGCGGCCTTCCCCCACGAGCAGCAGTCTGGGATTTCCAGGCGCCTCTTTTCCACTCCCTCCTCTGCAATCCGTAAATTGCATTTCCCGGCTGGGCGCAGGTGTCAGTGCCTGGATGGAGAGTCCCGAAGCTCCTCCGGGAAGGAGCGGGGGGGTTCCCGGGGAGCACAGCAGCAGTCCCACCAAAAAGCCGGGCCCTGGGACAAGGGGACATTTTGTTCAGCCGAGGAGCACTGCACTGGCAGCGTGCCCGCAGCCGGAGCCTGTGCACCTAACCGGGAGAAAATGGAAGAAGGGCAAAGGGAAGGGGCTGAGCCCCGGCTGGATGAGGGCTCCAGGCTCGTTCTGTCCCCCAGAGACCCAGACCACGTCTCCACGTCGAGCTGCCGGCTCAGCTCTCCTGCCCCAGGCCAAATTTCAGCAGCCGGGGAGGGTGTGAGGGGCGTGATCCCCTCCGCTGGAGCTGCTGCCTGTTCCAGCTGGGAACGGGATCACACCCAGCAAACAGAACAGTCACAGCATCAAACTGCACTGGCCCCGGCGACTTCCGTTTGACACCCTCTCTCCAAACACAGCCTTTGGTTCCCAACAGGAATTGTAATGTAAATATTTATTTCACCAGCCCAGCTCATGCTTTTAAAAGAGAAACTATGAGGCATCATCTGGAGCCAGTGGAGAGCTGCAGTCCCTTCCCTCTTGTTCTCCTCCATCCATCAGAGCACACAGCCCCTATTTGGCAGTATTTCCTCTCCTTCCCTTGGTCGGAGGACCTCGGAAGGCTGCTGGGAGGCAGTAACCTGAGTGCAGCTTTCTCTGCCTTAAGGGATGCACAAATCTTCCATCCAGATGCCCACGTCCGGGTTTAATTGCCTGACGGAAGGAAAACTGTGCTGACAGGAGGTTGGGTGCAGTCTCCTGTTCAGCACTCTCCCTGCAGATCTCTGCCAACCAGAGAGGCTGAAGGTGGGAACCTTTGAGGGATGGGGGGGATAAGGCAGTCAAGGTGTCTATCATCTTTCCCTGAGCCAGCTGCTTCACATGCAAAAAAATTAATACTGAACATTATAAAATAAGCAGCTGTTTGAAAGAGACAGCTCCAAACACTGCAGAGCCAAGGGTGCCGCTTCCCTCCCGGGGAAGCCCCCCTGCATCCAGGACAGTTCCTGCTGCCCGCTGGTGTAATCAATAGCGGCTGCACAGCCAGATGGTTGCACACAGCCCGCATGCCTGGCACAGAATCAGCCTTTTTCTGGGAAAAAGTGGGGGTGTGAGGGCAGGATACAAGTGCCCCCACTATCTGCGGGTGGTCATCCCCACTCTCCCTATCTCCTCCAGGGGCATTTCCCTAGAGAGCTGGGAGGAAAGTCCCCAATACCGCCTTTAGCCTGATGTTTCATCTCCCCTTTTAATCTCCCTCTGAAAACCAACCTGGCGACAGTGAGAACAATCATTTCATCCTCTTAAAGCCAGGGAGAAGGAGCAGCCAGTGCATAAAAAAAATTGGGATTGGGCTGGGGTGAGAGGGACAGAAGGGACCAAACTAACTCAGTGTGCAGAGAATCAAACCCACGTAAGCGTTTCCTCTGCTCCAGTCAGCGCTGGAACTGATTTTTTCAATCCCTATTTGGGAGGCACAGCACGCATCCACCCTTAGGTAGCAGGAAGACGCTCAAGAATCTGTCTTTCTGAGAAACCTTTTATTTGGCACTGTCAATGGTAGTGTTTTTCAGAGCGAAGCCATTCCTTCCTCCCCCCACTGAGAAAAGCCTTGAGGAGAGAGAGGCTTCTGCTGCACTCACTGTGCACAAAGCCCTGCTCCAAGGCAGGTCCTGCTGCGATGCAAAGAAAATTTAGATTGTCCTAAGAACATGTGGGTGTGGAAAGTCCACCCTTTGGATTTACAGAAGCTCACTGCCAACTTTTTGCTAGTAAGAAGCACATTGACCCCAAAACTTTCATTGTGAAGGCCTCAGAAAACAGCTGGATCAAAGGCCGAGAAGCCCCCATTTCTGGGGTCAGGAAGGTGGGGCTGCTACTTGGGGTCGTGAGCAGCAGCTGCACCTCAGAGGTCCGAACACTGTTCCTATGCTGGAGCTTTGCCAGGGCTTCAGGAGAAGCAGGGTCAGGAGCTGAACTGTATCCCTGCAGTGCATCCCAACGCACGACTGCCTTAGCAGAGAACCAGACAATCCTGTTAAGGACTCACAGAAGCCTTGGCAAAAAAAACAAAAAAACCCCCAAAAAACCCAACCCAGAAAAAAAAAACCCAACCCTAAAAAAAAAAACAACAAACCAGCCCTTGGGGCAAGATATTCCACTGTCATGCCCTTGAAACAAAGCTATCCTATCATCATTACTTTGCCCCCTCTCAGGAGCATGAGGGACAGTGAGAAGCAGGGAGCCTTTTCCCTGCTCCCTCCCCAGCTGGCCTGTCCCAGCATTTTAACTCTCCATTTGGCTCACTGCTCCGTCCTGGCCCTCCAGAGACTTTTCTGGCTGAGGGGTAGACAAGTGTTCCAGCTCGTAATGTCCGTTCTTCGCGGCCACCACGCTGCTCGGGTCGCCCTTTTCCACCGCCAGCTTTTTATTCCTTTTGCTCTCGATGATCTGCTGGAGCTGCCGCTCGGCATAGTTCGGTTTGGCCGTGAGCGCGGTGGAGGGCACGGTGAGCCCCAGGATTTCAGGGACCATGTAGGGCCGGAGCCAGCCCACCAGCGGGGTGCTGCCGGGGGTGTAGTGGGTTTGCCTGTGATAGAAGAGCAGCCCGTCAACCTGCGGACAGGAGAGAGTGAATGAAAGGGCAGAGCTGAGGCTCCCGCAGGTGGATGACCGGGTGCCAGACGACAGCTCTGCTCTCCATTTGCAGGCCAAAACCAACAGCTGGATCATTTTTCCCCAAGCAGTGCAATAAACAGCGGAAGGGAAAGAAGAAACCTGCAGAGCTCCTGCCCTGAAAGATCAGCGACTCCCAGGTGGCTTTAAATTGTCAAAGGCAAACAATTCCAGCCCGCTGTCGGCACAGAGCAGCATCCTCTGGATGCTCTCATCCCACTCTGCAGAAAAGCCAGCGGGTTTCTGAATGAGGCAGCCCACTTTACTGGATTAGGGTTATTTTAAATAATACATTTGGAAAGTAATTAGTCCAAGTGCATGATGCCAAGGAGCCCCGATTCCTAACAGCTCTTTTAACTGGTGTATGCCAATAAAATTCTTAATGTTTCCCAGGAGAGAACTTCTCCAGCAATCAATGACAGTTAAGGGCACTCAGGACTTTGAAGATTTAGGCTTAACTCTTGTGCTACTATTTCCACACTCTGCAGTGCTGCAGCTGTCTGACATTTTCCCCACTTTCCTGCCATGCTCAGGGATTCTCATTCCCCCTCTTCCTGTGCTTCCCAGGGTGTGCTCTGTGAGGCTGGATCTTGTTGTCAGGCTGACTAACGCTGAAGGTGGTGCTCCTCTTAGCTCAGCTTCAAAATCTCTTAAAAAGCCATTTGGCTATGAAGAAGAGTGGCTGAGTGGGCAGAAGAGAGGAGAACAAAAGCCCATCTCGGGATGAATTGCTCCCAGGCCCCTCCCCAAGCCTACAGCCCCCAGAACAGACACCCAGGCTGAGCACAGCACAGAGCAGCATCTATCCATTTCTGCTCCATGGATGCTAACCTGTGGCAGAGACAGTAAAGCTCCTGGTACTACTCTGTTCACAATTTTCAGTCACTGTTAACATCTTGCAAAATAATCCCAGAAAAAGGGGGATTCCCCTGCTAGGAAAACATAAAACTAGAACAGAAAGCATCATGATGAACTTGTGTAACCCCTCTGGATATCTAAAGTGCAAAGCTTTTCCCTCCCCCTGCCTCTTGGGAACAGCCAGATTCTGCAGCACCCCAGCATATCCAGCCCATTCCTGTGGACGCGTGGCACTTGATGAGCAAGAGGGATACTCCAGCACCCACAGGAATGTTTTGGTAAAGATCAGAGCCTGGAAACGCCTTCCGGACTGTTCCAAATATCTTCCCCAAGATGGAGAATTCAAAGGAGTTCAGCCTGGTGAAGTTAGGTCATGTTCTCCCTTCCCTGATTTAAGTGACTCCCATATTCCTTCCCGTTTATTTAATTTGTTGGCTGGGTCCCTACCCTGAGTCACTGCAGTGACAGCAGCCACATGAGAACAAGGGCTGACACTGTCCCTAAACGACAGAACCCGAGGAGAGACTGGCCTGGCAGGGTTTCACACTCCACAGCCACGCTTTCCAGATTTTAGATGCTTAACAGTCCTCCCATTCCTTCACACCGGGGTTTCTCAGAGGCTTTGGCTCCCCTGCCTTTGTGGAAACCTGAGCGTGGTTTTACTCAGATCTGTGAGAAGGACAGTAGCTCTTAAGATCCACTCCAAAAACCACTTGAAATTCAGAGCCAGTCAACTGATCCAAAGTCCACTGAACTCAGGGGAATGAAATTCTGCTGAATAGAGCGGGTCAGGCCCTAACTCTCAGGTTACAGATTAACTCTGAAGTCCCAAATCTGAAAGCACTGACCACCTCTGCTGCCACCACACACACGAGATTCCTGTCAGGATCACCAGATGCTGGGCCCAAGACTAAGACCACCTCTGTTATCCTTCACTATCCATAACCAGGATCTATTTTCTGTGCCGGTGGTGGAAGCTGTTTTGGGGGATTTTTGGGCTCCCTCTTGTGGCACACCAGAGGGACCTACGGCTCCCTTCATTCTGGAAGCAGCACCATGGTTCCAGTGGGGTTAAGGCTGTGTTGAGCCAATTACACCACATTTCACTTCTTGGGGTTACACCCCAATGTATCAAAAGACCAGGGGGGCAAATCACAGCTGGATTACACATCTGGAGTCCGTTCAGCTCCATCTCCTGCTCCAGAGTTTCACAATGGCCTCTTTCGTAGCCCAAAAGTTTCCCACTCTGACCACAGCGAGGCAACACTCCTCAGCCTTTCCTCTTGGGACCAGATGCCTCAGGAAGGAATGAAGCTTTTACTCAGGAAAGACAGGAATGACTGTTTCTACAGAGGCACTCAGAGATTTGTCATTAGGCAAGTCAATTGCAGGAAAGTTGGGATGCCTCCCCCAGTCCATGTTCAGAGCGGGGTCTGGCAAGACCAGCCAGGGGCTGGGACTTTCCAACTCACTCTGATGGCTGTCCTGGCTTTGACAAGCAAAGTCAGCCCACACAGCCAAATTAGTGTCCCTTAATTTAAACCTGCACTTACATTAATGGCTAACACGGGATGGGACAGCATAAGAGACACTATCACATCAATGTGGCTTTTGCCTTTGCAGGACAAGAAACCTCTGTGGAGGCTGTTCCTGGTGTGGGGCTGAGACTGGGCACTCCTAGGAACTGCAGCAGACACTGAAGGAGCTTCTGGCTTCCAGATGTTGTCACTGGGCCGGAATGCCACTGCCTCCTCCATCCTCTTCCCCTCCAGTGAGAAGTCAGCCAGGGCAGGCAAAAGCAGCCAGAGCTGATTCCATGAGGGCCTGTGACTCACTGCTCACAACCACATGGAGCTGAGCGAAGTGGCACGTGGATTTGCCTGTCTTGCCCTTCCCCAAAGGTCAGAATAGCACAACAGTTTTGTCAGGTGAGGTTTAGGGTGGATATGAGGAACAGATTCTTCCCCCAGAGGGTGGTCGGGCAATGGAACAAACTCCCTAGGGAATTGGTCATGGTCCTAAGCTTGCCAGAGCTCAGGGACCCTTTGGACAATGCTCTCAGGCACACTGTGGGATTGCTGGGGCTGTCCTGTGCAGGGCCAGGAGTTGGACTTTGATGATACTAGTGGGTCCCTTCCAGCTCAGGATATTGTATGATTCTATGATTCTACTTCTAAAGCTGATGAAGCGAACACAGGTGTCCTGTTCAGCCATTTCTGTCACAGCCATCCTCCCCCAGCTCCAATACACCTCAGGCACCCACTCTGAAGACCCAAACCCCTCAGAAACCATTGGGATCTTACCATCACCCTTCTCCTTCCTTCCCAGAAAACAGCCAGGTGCCTTGGACATAGAATATGGAAGCAGCCAGACTAAGGAAACCCACGCAAGCCCACATAGAGCCATGGGCAGTACCAACTTTGGCCCTAAAGAGGTCAGCTGTCCATCACACTGCTATGTGAATGTGAATTGTGCTGCTTCTGGAGGCAGCCTGAGTGTCCCTATCAACACTCTCATCCCAAAATGCTTTTTCAGACCCAGCCAACTGCAGCAAGGGCAGCACAAACACATGGAATGCCGTGGTTTAACTCTTGCTTATCTGTGTGGTTGGATGAGGCCTGTACCTGTTGACAAGGCAACAGATCAACCATGGGCATAAAGGCATCCATCCCACACACACAGGGAAACAGCAGCACAGCTCAGCAAGCTTCCTGCAGCTTTGGGAGAGCAAATTCCCAAGCAGAGGGTTTGCACCTCTCTCCCAGCACTGGCAGAGGTACAGCAGGGCTGTTGCTGAGGCTGAGGTCCAGGCCCCCACCCGGGTGTTCTCACCTCAAAGGGGAAGTCCGTAGCCAGCAGCTCACACAGGCTGTCCGAGGAGCAAGGGAAGTTCTGCAGGCCCACAAATTTGTACTGAAAGAGTAAGAGAGGGTTAGAGGGGCAACTGTGTGGCCTAAAGGCAAACAAGTTGCTGAGTCCAGCACCGGTGCGGAGGCAGCTAAGAAGGAAGGATTCCCCCAGTGCAGGATCCAGCATGAAAGGGAAAGGGTGAGGAACAGCTCCCACATGCTCCTGATACCTTTTTTCCCAAGCACCCAAGACTGCACGAAGGACCTTTCAGGGGATGTTCTTTTAACCAAAAGAGAAAATTATGACCTCCAGGCAGGATGAAAAGTAGACAGACATCTATTCCAGGCTGCTGGCTCAGCCAAGTCAATCTTTCAACCCAGGAAATGAAAGCTAAAACGACCCCCCTTCATTAGGTAGCTATCTTCTGGATATTCCTGTTGGGAGTCAGAACAGGATGTTCTCTGAACACAGACACCTTCACCGCAGTCAGCCCCATTTATCACTGAGATGCTTAGCTCACAGGAGCTGCTCTGCCTGGCTGTGCCTGAGCAGAGAAATCCCTCATGTCTGTACCCAAAAATCATGTTCCAAGATGCTGTGGGTTCTAGGTCTGACCTCCATACGTAAGTCTTCGAAGGAAGACTTTTTATCCTGGCTCAGCAGGGATTCCGGGTGGCAATCCGGCATTCATCCGAACAATTTCAATGATCAGTTTAAACAGAGGGAAGGCTTAAAGCTTTACAAACCCACAAGACTGCAAGAATAAGCCCCACTGTAGTCAGGCTGCCAACCAACAGTGCCCCTGCAGAAACCACACTGGTTTTCCATTCCATTTCAAAGGAAAGCTAAAAACAGCATGGAAGTTAGCTGATACCCTGCAGTGTGATAGCCCTCAGCACTTTGGATGGGGGAAATAAATCCCACTGCACTCATTTACAATATTCAGTGGTTCCATTTACATCCTGACCACGGCATCCCATTTCATCAGATGTACACTTTGAAGCCTGATCCATGAGGAGAAAGAAAAAAAGAAAGAAAGCTTCCGCTTGTGAAAGAAACTGCTGAAGCCTGCTGAACAGGAGAGCTTACCCCTCAGCCTCCTTCCCAGTACAAAAGGACTTACCGGATTAATCCTGCTTGTCTCTCCCAGCCCTTTCTCCTCTTGGATCTTTGAGGACAGCCAGAAGAATCTGAAGTCAGTCTGTGAAAGGACACAGAGAGTTAGTGACCATTCACTACACATCACCCATCAGCACCTGCTGAGTGTCTTCACTCCTCTGCATTCACCTGGGAGATTTACAAAATCGATTTCACCTACAGAACCAGCACCCCAAACCCTGCTACTGCCCCACAAAACATGTACATAATTCCAGCAGCCCAAAAGCTGTAAAGATGCTGGTGCTTGGGAGAAATATCCACATTTTGCAGAGTGAGCTACATACAGTGCTGGAGCACTGCATCTCAGGGAACAACAGGGAGGGCAGGGATTCAGTACCTGGCAATCATAAACAGGGTGTCCTCTCCAGCACATCACATCGAGGATATAGTAGGTTCGCTGGGCCTCATTGTAGATACAGTCCAGGATGGTGTACACTGCACACACAAACACAGGGAGGTCCATACCTGCTCCAGACTCTGCCTAACCCAACTGGAAAATGCCAGGCCACAGCTCTCCAGCATTAATCCTGCCCTGATGTAAGGCTGCCAGGTGCAGAGGGACCCCCTTCTGTTAACAGAAACTGTGACTGCAAAAAGCCTTGAGCTTGAGGAGTCCCATGAGGCTACAAAGGGACCAGCCAGAGGCATAGCAGGCAAGGGCATGTTTCAGAAAATGGCATTTGCCAGGCAATAAACTTCTTTTTTTCTGGGCCAAAAAACTGAACTCCAAGAGGTAGTAAGGAAGATGACAGCACACACGGGTCTCTTTTAGAGGACAGAGAGGGTATTGGGGTTTAAGAGTGTCAGTCAATCAGGCTAATTAAAAGATGTGACAGGACAAAGGGCAATGGTTTTAAACAGGAAAAAGGTAGTTTTAGATTAGATGTTAGGAAGAAATTCTTCCCTGTGAGGGTGGTGAGGCCAGAGAAGCTGTGGCTGCCTCATCCCTGGAAGTGTTCAAGACTAGGTCGGATGGGCCTTAGAGAAACCCGGGATAGTGGAAGGTGTCCCTGCCCATGGCAGGGGGGTGGAACAAGATGACCTTTAAGATCCCTTCCAAATCCAAACCATTCTGGGACTCCATGTGCTTATCTAGCATAAAGGTATTTGTCCACATCTAGTTATCTCCAGAGATACAGAAACAGGCCTGAGGTTGACTACCTATCAGCACGAAAAAGGGCATAGCTCTGGGGCTCAGGGGAGCTGGAGGAGCAGCACTGAGCCTGCCAGCAAACACATTCCCAGGCAGAAGCAGGCAGCTCCCCTCCCTCTATCCCAAATGTCTCCTCACACCTGTACCTTTCTCGCTGGCTGAGTTGTGCCGGCTCCCCCCCGGCAGCAGGGATGGGAACCTGTTGACACAAAAGCCACTCTTGGTGTAAGCTGCTGTTGTGCCCTGTGAGGAAAGAAGAGAGAGAAAACCCAGTCAAGCCAGCTTTATGTTGGCTGGAAACATAAGCCAGGTCCTTTAGCAGCTGGTGAGACCCCCGCCTCTGCTACCACTTACCCTGGAGGCCACGATGAGTGCCCTTTTCCCCACAGGACACACCACCACAACCCACTCCTGCTCCAGATCCGAGGGTACATCCACCAGCCACTCTGACAGCATCAGCTACAGAGAAACCAGGAAAAACAATCAGTTAGTAACAACTATCCTAAAGTTATGGACAATGAACAGCTCAAGAATAAAATAAGGAGGTTTTAACTTGGCTTCAACAGCTACACTGGGTGTTTTAGAGGCAGCTGGCACTGCTTGTCACCCCCAAAAGGGCTCCTTCCCTCTCTCTCTCTAATCAACCTCAACCTGCCTAACACACTCTTCAAGTCTTTCTCTTGCTTCCCAGCTGCTGACTGAGCTTCAGACTACAGAACAGGGCTCACAGTCCTCGCTTGGCCACCTCACACCTTGGTCCCCACTCTAGCACTTTATTCTTAAAAACATGAAAGAGCTTAGAGATTCCAAAATATTAGGATTAAAGAGCCCAGAGAAACTGACCTCCTCAAACATTGCCCAGGTGGCTGCATGCCTTTTAGGACCAGTACAGCACCCAGGCTGATAAAACCCAGCTGAGTTTTCCTTTCCTTCCTGGTGTCCCAAACACAGGGAAAGACAGAAATCTTTAGCTGAGTGCTGCCTAACGGGGTACTAATGCTGCTAGCTGAGCTGAAATCTCCCAAAGTGGGGGATGCAGTGGTGCAGGATTAATGGCTGGACTCAGTGACCTTCGAGATCTTTTCCAACCTAAATGACTGAAGCACACAGGCACAACAACATCTCCACTTGTTTTCCATTTGAACTCAGCATGTTTTGGAGGCAAACTGAAACACAGTTTCTCTCTGAGCACCAAGTCAGGCAGGACACATTCTTCTCAGCCACAAAACGGCCATCACCGTGGCCTCAAACCACCCCACATCCCTCATCCTGGCCCTGTCTCACACCCACACCCCACCATGGGGACACAGGTGGCTCCTCACCTGATTGGCGTAGCGCTTGGGCAACTTTTTGCCAGCATCCACGTCCATCTCCTCTTCCTCCGCATCTTCCCCATCCTTTTCCTCGCCCTCGCTCTCCATCCCTGCCCAGTCGTCCTCCGCCAGCCTCCTGGCATGGTTCACGTAGTCCAGCCGCCTCCTGGGGGGGGCGAGGAAACAACCCAGCGGGGAGGCAGGTCACCCACCGCACCCCACACCCAAACCGGGCCGCCTACCCACACGCAGCCCTAGGGCGGCCTAACGCGGCCCGCCCGCCCCCCGCGCCCCCATCCCCGGCGGCGCCCGCTCGCCCGCTCCCGCGCTCACTCTCTCTGGATGCGGAGGAGGCGCTGCCGGCGCTCGACCTGCCCGGGGCCGCCGCGGGGCTTGTACGCGGCCAGGCGCGGGTGCGGCGCGGCCGGGCTGAAGGGCCCCGCCAGCCCCACGCCCGCCGCCAGCGCCGCGCTCAGCTCCTCCATGGCAACACCCGCGCGCCGGCCGCTTCCGCCCGGGCCGCGCCCGCAGCGCCCCCGCGCGGCTCGGAGGCCCCGGCGCCCCCCGCAGCCCGCTCAGCCCGTGCCTCAGTTTCCCCCTCCGCCCGGGGGCTGGGAAGGGACGCCGCGGGCCGTGACCGGGCACGGCCGAGGGAAATATCCCGGCAGAGACGCAGGAGCAGCCAGTGCCACCGCGGGCGAGGATTCGCGCCCCCGGGACCGGCTGCCTGCAGAGGGCAGCGTGCGGCTGGCCAAGCCGGGCCGGGCTGCTGCTCGCTGCGAACCGGACGGCGGAGCGGGGAGCGCCGCGCTGCCCTGCGTCACGGGAGGCTGGCGGCTGGCTCCGCCACCCCCTCCGGCAACGGGACCGGCACCGGCAGCGGGACCGGCATCGGCACCGGCAACGGGACCAGCCCCGGTACCGCCCCCGGCAGCGGGACCAGCCTCGGCACCGGTTCCGCCATCCCCACTGGCAACGGGACCAGCCCCGGCACCATCTCCCCCACCGGCACCGGCATCAGCACCGGCACCCCCGCCAGCCCCACCGCCGTCCCCTCCACCTCCGTCCTGCGTGAGATTTACGGATTTCAGGGAAAAACCAAACCCCACCAGCCGCCGGGAAAGTCGGCCCGGAAAGGAAATCCCGGGATCACTGGGAGGTTGGGCAGGGTTTGGGGTCGTTCCTGACGATTTCCCAGCACCCACCGACAGCTGGCAGGGGAAAATTTGGGGTGTTTTATCCACAGGACCCCCGAGAAAAGTCGCTTGGGATATATCTCCTCGCTGGCAGCCAGAGGTTTTCCTCACGGAAAGTGAAACCTCGGGATCGGCGTCCCAGCGAGATAAACCCTGCGTGGACATGGCAGAGCCCGGCTCTTGGGCCGGCCGGGGTTCACATCCCGGAGGAGCCAGGGAAACGCCGCTCGCCTGACCAGGAATCTTGTTTTTATCCAGGAAATGTCGTTTTTAACTGGGGAATGTTGTTTGTAACTGGGGAATGTTGTTTTTAACAGGGGTGCCGGGATCGGGGGGGTCACTTGGACACACGGAACTTGGCGTCACCTCGTAAGGGATTTCTTCTTCACCGTTTTTTTTTAATTTCTCTGGGAAACCGGCCAAGCCATTTCCCACAGCGCGTGGTGGTGATCCCGGAGCCGAGCGAGCCTGTGGTATTGCCTGGGGGGGTTGTTTTGGCTGGGGGGATTGCGTTCCGCTGTGTGCCCCCCTCCTCTTCCCGACCCGCGACCGGCCATGGCGTTGAAAGCCAGAGCGCTTTACAACTTCCAGAGCGAAAACAAAGAGGAGATCAGCATCCAGGAGAACGAGGAGCTCGTCATCTTCAGTGAGAACTCCCTGGACGGGTGGTTACAGGGCCAAAACAGCCGCGGGGAGACCGGCCTCTTCCCTGCTTCCTATGTCGAGATCCTCCGCTCCCGGTCAGGCTCCAACTACACGGACTACTCCAGCAGCCCGGCCGGCTCCCCCGGGCACGACTCCTCCTTCTACTCAGCATCCCCCAATCCCGGCATCTCCTACCAGGGCAGTTTTGAGGACGACGATGATGATGATTGGGATGACTGGGACGATGCGTGCACGGTGGTGGAGGAGCCCCGGAGCGCCCCGGGTACCAACGGGCACCCCTCACCCAATCTGCAGTACCCGGAGGCCTATGGCCACCACCAGCATGCCGGTTACCGGCCCAAGCCGGCGCTGGAGAGGCAGGATAGCATGAGCTCCTCCAAGAGGGGCAGCGTGGTAGGGAGGAACCTCAACCGCTTCTCCTGCTTCGTCCGCTCCGGTGTGGAAGCCTTCATCCTGGGCGACGTGCCCCTGATGTCCAAGATCTCTGAGACATACTGCATCGAGATGGGCTCCAGAGGTCCCCAGTGGAGGGCGAACCCCCACCCCTTCATCTGTTCCGTGGAGGACCCCACCAAGCAGACCAAGTTCAAGGGCATCAAGAGCTACATCTCCTACAAGCTGACCCCCAGCAACATCAACTCGCCCGTGTACCGGCGGTACAAGCACTTCGACTGGCTCTACAACCGCCTCCTGCACAAGTTCACAGTGATCTCGGTGCCCCACCTGCCCGAGAAGCAGGCCACTGGCCGCTTTGAGGAGGACTTCATTGAGAAGCGCAAGCGGCGACTGATCCTCTGGATGGACCACATGACCAGCCACCCCGTCCTCTCCCAGTACGAGGGCTTCCAGCACTTCCTCTGCTGCCGCGACGAGAAGCAGTGGAAGCTGGGCAAACGCCGGGCGGAAAAGGATGAGATGGTGGGTGCCAGCTTCCTCCTCACCATCCAGATTCCCACGGAGCACCAGGACCTGCAGGACGTGGAGGACCGCGTGGACGCCTTCAAGGCCTTCAGCAAGAAGATGGACGACAGCGTCCTGCAGCTGACCAATGTGGCCTTGGAGCTGGTGCGCAAGCACGTGGGGGGCTTCCGGAAGGAGTTCCAGAAGTTGGGCAATGCCTTCCAAGCCATCAGCCACTCCTTCCACATGGACCCTCCCTACAGCTTGGATGCCCTCAACAACGCCATCTCCCACACAGGCAAGACGTACGAGACTGTGGGGGAGATGTTTGCTGAGCAGCCCAAGAATGACCTGTTCCTCATGCTGGACACGCTTTCCTTATACCAAGGGCTCCTCTCCAACTTTCCAGACATCATCCACCTCCAGAAAGGTAAGGAGGCCTTCTTCTCCCTGGCCCCATGTGAGTGGAAATGGTGTGGGGAGTGGGAACGGCGTGGGGAATGGTATGGGGATGCAATGAGGAAATCCTTTGTTGGGCCATGAAGGAAATGGGAAATGAGGATGGGAATGAGAATGGAAACCATTGTCTGTGGCTCCTAGGGAAGCAGTGTGGTCCCCGCTGGCACAGCCCTCCAGTCACCCCAGCTGGGAGAGGCTGCTAGGGCTATTGGGTCCAGGGTCTGACCCAGTGATGCTGTGGGCTCCATAACTGCTGCTGGTGCTTCCTTTGTGGGGATCAGCATGGGTGTCACTCCTTGCAGACCATTAGCAGGAGCCAGCACCACTGCTGGTGGCTTTGTGGTGACCTGCCCGGCACCTCTTGAGCATCCCACCCACTGCCACTTGTCCCTCCTCATCCTCCCTCCCTGCCGAGGCGCCAGATGGGTGGCCAGCAGGGATGCTGGAGCTTGCTCTCTCGGGGCTGGGACATGGCTGGATATGGCCTTGAGTGGGCCAGAGGAGCAGAGTGGGCTGTGCAGGGCAGTGGGATGGGGACATGTCCGTGGGGGATGACACACTGAACCTCCTGGGGACAACCAGGGTCACACTTTTCAGGAGTATGTCCCTGCACTTCTGGGTCCAGGAGGAGTGGGTTAGCATGCCTGGGCTGTCAGAGCTCCCTGCATCCCATTTGTCCTAATTCCCTGGAGTTGCTGGGGTCAGAGGGGGTGAGAAGTGTTTTCTGTGCTCTTCCTGGAGTGGGTGGCAGGCAGGGAGGACTTGGTGGCCCTTTGCACCCAGGCTGACGCAGCTGGGTGTGGGAGCAGGGCCGAAGTCCACACACTCCTCCCAGCCCAGCTGCCCATAGCAGGGAGGGGACACCCACACTAACATCCTCAGATTTTGGGGGACAAGTTTTCTCCAGGGTGAAACCAGGGCTGTCTGTGTCCAAGCATCCAGGGATGTCTGTGCCTCGCTGCACGTCCCTGGGGGAGGCTGGGAAGGCAAAGGGAGCAAGGAGAGTACAATCCTGCCCCAGCAGCTTCTTTGCCTTTCCTCCCAGTGTTGTTTACCCATGGAGAGGGGCTGGATCCCGTCCGGAAGCGAGGCTGCGTGGGCAGAGCGGAAGGCAGGATTTGGCCTCCAACCTTTGCTTCTTCCTCCTCCTCATCCTCTCTGCTGGGAGCAGGGCTGGTGCAGCGGGAGCACCGTAACCCCGGGTCTGGTGCTCCCGGCAAGGGGCAGGGATAAGGGAAAAAAGCCCAGTGCAGGCCAGATCTTGTTTTTAGTTTTTTAGCCTCTGTGCTAATGAGGGGGAGGAATGCAGGGCTGGAGCCAGGCAGGATTCTTTCGAAACTGAGCTGTAAAAAAACATGGAGAGGGAAAAACTGGTGTCAGAGCATCAGCTGCCTCTGGGAGAGGGAGATGGTTTCCCAGCTGAGCTCCAGACAGCACCACACGCCCTTCCCCCATCCTGGTTCACAGCCTCCTGGTCTGGGGTCTCCCAGGGCTACTCCTGACCCCCATTTATGGGATACCATGGAATATTTGGAGGGCAGGCTTGGCTGGGGTGCTTGGCTGTGCTAACGCTGCCCTGCATTTTTAGCTTAGCACCCAAAGCCTTGAGTTGCAGCCCTCCAGGAGCCCAGACCCTAAAACCAGCTCAACATGAGGCTGTGTGCTCAGAGATGGGATGGAAAAGGAGCTGGGGAGGCCAGAGTCCAGAGGGGAAAGGCTCCTGGTCTTTCCTTGTGTGGAGGAGAGGGATGGGTTCGATGGGCATAGGGAGATGCAGGTAGATCCCTCCTTTACTCATGTGGGGCAGCTCTGCGCCTCTGCTTTGAGTCCAGGCTGGTGCCCCAGCATGGAGGGCGGTGGGATCAACCAGGAAGGCCAGGGAAGGGTCACACAGATCCGCCAGCCTCTCATCCTGCTCCCTGCCTTGCCAGGCGCCTTCGCGAAGGTGAAGGAGAGCCAGCGGATGAGCGACGAGGGCAGGATGGACCAGGAGGAGGCTGACGGGATCCGCAAGCGCTGCCGCGTGGTGGGCTTCGCCCTGCAGGCCGAGATGAACCACTTCCACGAGCGCCGCGTGGCTGACTTCAAGAGGATGATGCAGTCCTACCTAAGACAGCAGATCGTCTTCTACCAGCGCGTCAGCCAGCAGCTGGAGAAGACGCTGCGCATGTATGACAACCTCTAACGCCTCCACTTGCTCTGCCCGCAGCCTCGCACGCCTCCTCTGTCTGTGGCAGACTGAGAACTAACAGGAACTCATCACGCTAGAGACCAAATAACTTTGGGCTTTCCTCCCCCTTCCCGGGCCTGTGGGGAAGGGCTCGCCCGCGGGTTGGCCGTGCCACCTCTTTCCCTGGGGACCTCCCACCCTGCCATGGGTCTGGTGGGGGCACGGGAGGCTCACCAGAGAGACAGATGTGGAGGTAACAGTGCTGCCCGGTGATTTTTAGCTTTCTGAAAACCCACTCTCCTGGAGCAGAGGCAGGTGTGTCCCAGCCTGCTGGGAGAAGAAGTCCAAGCGGTCAACATTTTGCACACTAAAAGCTTTTCTGATGGAAAAAAGAGAAGGAAACGGATCTTTATTTGGAAGAGATTTTTTTGTTTGTTTGTCATATTTTCAATATTTTCCATTTTTCTGCAGCATTTTTACTGATCAGTTTTTAACTAGATGCCCAGAGGCGAAGGGAAATCTCTTTCTTGAGCATGGCTGCTGACTGGGAAAAGGGAGAAAAAAAAAAAAAGGGAAAAAAAAAAAGCCCCACAGCCTTTTCAATAAAATTGTTGGTAGAAAAAACACCAACCCGCTTCCCGGAGATGTCTGTGGAAAATGGAGCTGCTTCAGGATCCTGGGGAAAGCTCTGCATCTGAGCATCCCCTGGCTGCCAGTCAGCTTCAAACATCCCTGTGCCATGGAGGGAATGATCCTGGGAGGGGATCCCACAGTAACCACCCTCCTGCTCTTCAAGCAACCCACCAAGGGGCAAATCCTGCCCCGCTTTGCACCGCTCGGGGCCTGGGGCAGCGTGCGGCTGCCTGGGAGGCAGCGGGGCTGGCACGGGGGCCTTGTTTTTGAAGGGAAATGGCTGGGATAAATCACAGCGAGGAAAGTTAGGGCCGCCTTGGCCTGGCTCCAGGGATAAAATTAGCCCCGGCATGCAGGCCAGCGGAGTATTGTTAAACTAACAGCGACACTGGGAATGCGGCAGGCTGCGCTCCATCCTCCCGGAGCCCTCCCCAGCCTGCACGCTCAAGTACAGCCGGCCGTGGTGCACATCCTCCCTCCTGCGTCCGGCAGCCAGGGCAGTCCCCTTCCCACGGCCCCATCCCACATCCTACCCCAACCTCATCCCACCCTGTCCACATCCTACGTTGGTTCCATCCTACCCCATTCTCATCACGTCTCACCCCAACCCCATCTCATCCCAACCCCATCCTTCCACAGCTCCTACCCTGGCCCCATTCTGTTCTGTTCCCATCCTACCCAGGCTGCATCCTTCCATGGCACTATCCCATACCATTCCTATCCCATCCCAGCCCCATCCCACTCTGACCCCATCCTATCCCAACCCCATCCTACTGCAGCTCCATCCTACCCTGGCCAGATACTACCTTGGCCCCATCCTATCCCAACCCCATCCTACCCCAGCCCCATCCCAACCCAGCCTCATCCCACCCTGGCCACATCTTTCCTTGGCCCCATCCCACCCCAGCAGCCATGGGAATGGTGTCTGACCCCTGTGCTAATCCCACTGGAGTGACTGGCCTCTGGCCCTGCTGGTCATGCTCTGGATGACTGTGGTGGCCTTGGCCCCATGTTGAGGCCAGATGCTGTGGGATGGTGTGTCCCTTCCCCCAGCCCTGCTCCCTCAGGGAGCACAATGGGCACTGGGACTGAGCCTGCCACTGCCATCCCCGGGCAGGCAGCCAGCCTCTGGCACTGCAAGCAGCCTCCGGAGCTGTGTCAGCATCCCAGCTTCCCTGGACCCGCCTGGGCAAGAGGATTCCTCTGCCTGGGATCCCCCATGGCAGCACGGTCCCTGAGATGTACTGAAGCAGGATGTGCAGCTGGAGTGAGGAAATGTCCCAGTGCCCAGGAGTTCATCCTCTGCTCTGGTGTCCTGGCATGGGGATGGGGATGGGATAGGGTCCCTGCAGGCTGCATGCACCCCCTTGGAAGGCTTGTGCCTCAGTTTCCCCAAGGGTGCGTCAGTGCTCTCTGTGGTCCTTTGGCACCCACAAAGGTCTCCCTGCCCCACCAGCCATCCCTCTCTGTACCCTCATGTCTGGACCATGCTCCCAGGGCACACCAAACCCATTGCCTGGGAGAATCTGTATCCCATTAACATTCCTACCTTTTCCCTCTGCCACCTGGCAGCAGGGCCCTCTCTGCCCACAGGCAAGCATTTCAGGGCCTGACCCTGCCTTGGCCAGATGGGGGACTTGAGTATCCTCCTGCTTCCCTCCACATCTCCAGCAGCATCCTGCAAATGTGCCAAGGCTTGGAGGATGAAATGGCTCCCAGCATCCCGGGCTGTCCCAGTGCTCCTGCTGCTGGACAGTGGAGGGGAGCCTGGGGGCACACACAGTGCTCCATGTGCACCCGTGGTGTCAGTCAGTGCCTTTATTATCTGTGACACAGGCTGTTCCCTGCTCCCACAAGAGATAAAAAGCCAGAAAAAAGCACAGGGCTGAGAGGAAACGGCAGGAACACAGAGCAGATCCGCTTCCTCCTCCCACTTCCCAAGGCTGCTCCTGCGTGGGAAAGCCAAGGCCAAGGCCCTGTGCGAGTCTCGCCAGCATGACAGCAGGTTTTGGAAGTGGTGGCGGTGGCTGGGGCATCCACCCTGGAGAGCCCTGCAGCCAGCACCAGAAAGCCCATTGTTGGTTCCATTCCTGCAGGTGGCTTCTGGGAGCTCTTGTCTTGCTTCTCTTCAGGCCCCTCTCCACCTTGGATTGAGCTCTGGGAGACCACAGTTTGTATATGGGCCAGGCCAGCAGGCTGTAGGGACAACCTGCATCCAACCCCTGTACGTGCATCCTGAGACCAACAAGATGCTCCAGGGTGGGAGGACCCATTTTGGGTGCAGGATCAGCTGGGTTCCCATGAGGACCAGCTGAGCAGCTGGAAGGTAGAGGATGGGGATGCTGGGACAAGCAGAGCTGCTGATCAGAGGCTTGTGAGCCACATGGACACACTCACCAGTGTTTGATGATTTGGGATCAGCCACCAAAGCACTGCAGTGACCCAACCCAGCTCCTCCCATGGCAAAGGGGAGTGCAGCTCTTGGTGGGGCAGCTAGGCAGGATCGGGCTTGCCATGCATGCCATGCTGCTGGCACATGTTGGCAAGCATCTTGGAGAGGCACGGCTGCCAACGGGGAGCAGGGAGCAGTCCCGGGGGAGTAGGGAGAAGTCCTGCCTGCCTGTTGGGGCTGGCAGCAGCTCTGGGGATGGGGCTCAGTGGGATTTCACTGCCATCCCCACTGTGTCAGGAGGTGGATGAGTGTGTGCCTGTGTAGAGGAGCAATTCCAGGTGGATGCAGGCATGGGGTGGCAATGGGTCAGGCAGAGGGAGACAGCTCAGACTGCCAGTTCCAATCCTTTAATTGCTGTGCTTCTCAAATATTTCCGAAGCATGACCCTGAGTCGGCTCCTCCAGGCAAGGATACGAGCACCAGCTGGTTCTCTTGGCTGTGGCTATAAATGCTGCCTCCTGCTCCCAGCCCAGGGCAATTGCGGGAGATCAGTAGTGCCTGTGCTAGGGAGTGAGCTGGGAACAACCTTTAATAGGGGTGTGCCAGCCCTCCTTGTTCCCCTGCTGCTGGTTTCCCCTCCCAGCTGTAGCCAATGTGATGCTCAGGTCAGACCCTGTCCCAGCTCTTTGTGCCAACCTGGATTCCCTCTCTGGTTGGTGGGAAGGCACTGAGCCTGGGAAGTAGGTCCTGTGCTACGGGGGAGCTGTGTTTCTGGGTGTGTTATTTGTGCAGGAGGGGTGGAGAGCCCAGGCTCTGGGATGTGGTTATTCCTCCGTCATTGTCTATCTGCCTTGGAGTTGCTGGGTGTGGAAACAGAGGTCACACTTAATTTGTCTAAAATTTAAATTGCAGCTAGGCTGGGGAGCCGTGGTGGGCAGCAGCTGCAATGGGGGATGCTTTCTGGTGTCCAGGTCCTCACCACTCCATACTTTCCCTAGGACCTGTGGAGCTCCTCTGGCTCTGCAGCTCAAATCCATGCGCTTTATCTCTCGTGGGCAAGATGGTGGGAGAGATGCCAGATTCCTGGGGACAACACTGTCCCTGTGTGGGTTTGTTTGAGGTGCTCCCAGGGTGACGTGCCAGCTCTTCCCCCAGGCTCCATCCTGTCCTGCCAGGCTTGCTGCCAGCTGAGCCTGTTCTGCAGGCTGTGGGCATGACTGGCCTGAATCAGGCAGGCACGTAGCAGGGAGGGTTCCCAGCATCCTGGGGTACTGACTTTGGCTTGGAGCTGAGCGGAGGTGCTGACTTTGTCACACTATGCAGCTGCCAGCCTGACGTCTGGGTCTGAGTTTCCCATGTAGGGCAACTCCTAGGAGGACCTGACCCCCCATTCACCTGCCCTGGGAGGAATAGGTGTCCTGCTCTCCCAGGAGACTGCTCCTCATTCCTTGCCATCAGGGAGTGTGACCCATGCCCCCTGAAGGGACCCCGGGATGCCCCTCTGGGCTCCCAGTGAAGTCTAGAGCATTTCCTGAGGTTGGTGAGAGCTGCCAGGGAGGTTTTGGGACTGGGACAGGGAGGCAGGAGCCCTGGATCATCTTGCCCCAAAACAGTGTGGGGCTGCCTGCCTGAGCTCAGGGGGGTTCATGTTCTTGCTGTGCTTCTGTCCCCAGGAGAAGTGTGGACGATGTTGTCCCAAAGTCCTGCAGCTGTGGTGGGATTTTGGAGGCTGGGGATATGATGCTTACACGGGTCCCAGTCTCCTGTGCTGGCTTGAAGCCTGGCTGGGAATAAAGTCCCTCATTTGTTGAACCCTGCATTTGTGTGGCTACAGTTTGCCAGGAGGGTTTCCAAGCAAAAAGATCCTTACCTGCCCTGGGCGGATTCTTTGTTTGCATTTGAATAGGTGCCTGGAAACTGGTTCAGTCACCAGAGCTGTGACAGCCTCCCCTTCTGCTCTGTGTTCATCCCTGCCTGTGAGCCCTAGCGCCTCCAGCTCTTGCTGAAACCTGAACTGGGACTACAGTGCTGGTGTTATTAATCCGGGAGAGGTGTTGGATGCAGCCTGCCACAGGTGAGATGGCTGTGGGCTTATGGTTCCCTTCCCACTTCCAAAGTACTCTCTGAGGACAGGCTGGCCAAGCTGGGGTTGTTCAGCCTGGAGAAGAGAAGGCTCTGGGGAGACCTTCAGAGCCCCTTCCAGCGCCTAAAGGGGCTCCAGGAGAGCTGGAGAGGGACTTTGGACAAGGGCCTGGAGGGACAGGCCAAGGGGGAATGGCTTCCTACTGAGATAGAGCAGGGTTAGATGGGATATTGGGAAGAAATTCTTCCCTGTGAGAGTGGTGAGGCCCCGGCAGAGGTTGCCCAGAGAAGCTGTGGCAACCCTAGAAGTGTTCAAGGCCAGGTCAGATGGGGCTTGGAGCAACCTGGGATAGTGGAAGATGTCCCTGCCCATGGCAGGGGGGTGGAACAAGATGACATTTAAGGTCCCTTCCAACCCAAACCATGCCATGATCTTCCCTAAACCTCTGCAAACTTTATAGCCAGCTTGGCAGGGGAGGGTGCTGGGGAAGCCAAAGGGCCTAGCCAGGAAACTTTTGA